AAGTGACTGGATTCATCTGTAGCCATTCAGAATTAGGAAAGTAAGTTGTGTGTGTTCCAGTGTATACTATAGTATGGATATCTGATAAGATTTATTTCATCCAGTTAATTTTTGCAATCTCCATCAAATCCATATATTATGAAATATTAATCACAATATGGTCTTTAAATGTTCTACCATAAGTTTGATGCCCAAAGAAAAAAAAAAGAGCTATATTTATTTACTTATTTTATCAGGCAAACTGTTGAACTGTGCTAAGAATATGTGGCTCATAGCAACTGATGAACAGCCTCAGAACAGCCACTTTAAGCACACGTTCCACAAATTTCACACTCGAGGATCAACAGCCTGGTGACCACAGTGGTGCATGTAACAGCTAAAATAAATACATCAATCAGCAGTTAAAAAAACACAAAGTGAACTGCAACACTGAAGCCTGAGGCACAGCTGAAAATTAGATGTAAATACAAGAATAGAAACAAGCTCACCAAATCAACTTTAACAGTGGCACTCACAGATTGAACTGTTGCACTATCACTAAACTACCTGCATATATTAACACTTTAAAGCTGTTATTCAATGTGGTAAATATGACAAAGATGATATAATTTCTTCACTCTGGCATAACACCCAGAATCACCTTCCTTCAGCTGAAGGCAAGTATAGAGAGACTAAGTGAACAGGTGTCGCTTATAACCAAGCTGTTGAAGAGTCAGTGTTCATGCTGCATTCACACACTTATCAGGGGAACTCCAGAAAGAATTTTCCACCGCACGTGGAAGATATAAACCTTCCACTTTTTAAGCCATCATAAACACAGCTTTTAAGTTTCTTCAGTTTCTTCTAGTTTTAGTACATTAAAACCTCATTACCAGTACGAAGGTTACAGTAGATTACCAAAAGGACAGAAAGGACAGCTGCATGCTGTCAATATGGAAAGCATGAATAATAAATAAGTGTGTGCTTGGCCTCACCTATATTTACGGGAAAGAACTAATAGCCTGAGTGGTATCTAGTTCCTCAATCTTGCACAGTTTGCATACCACTGTCATGCAACAGTGTGACAGAAATTGAACTTGACCGTAAACAGGAACAAATAAAGGCAAAAATTGCACTTCATGGCAACATTTTTATAAACCTTCAAAATCATGTACTGGCACCAAGTGGCCCTAAAGATTGTCGACAGCTCTCTAAAGAGCTTTTAAAAAAAATGTGAATATGTGTAAAAATAGATATGTAAAATGGAAAAAGAATGTATGCCCATGCAAATTCACACACACTATGACCTGGGAAAACCTGTCTGAAAACAAAAGAAAATAGACAAATGGAAAAACTTTGAAAACTTTTGGGAAATTAGTGTTTTTATTGTTTAATAAGCCATCTTTCATCCTTCAATCACATCACCAATATATCATACATATATCAAGTAGTTCTATCATTATCAGATCATTTACAGTTAAGTAAAAATAGAGATTTGACAATTTCAGAAAAATCAGACACAGCCTAATTTCTTCAGTCTTCAGTAGTCTGATGTGTTTCATGGTCCCAAACAGTTTTCTCCTTTAGTCACAATTGAATGAAAAATTGTGATCACAGTGGACTGAGGAACAACCTCACAAACACAACTATCATACTTATAGACCTTGTGAGCCTCTTTAAACTCGTCATTTAAATTTTTTATGGCTC